TTTTTTGGTACTGGGGATTGAACTCTGGTCCTTGTGCTTGCAAGGCAGGCCACCGAACCACTGAGCTAAATCCCCGGCCCCTGTTTGTAGTTTTTAACAGAGACAATTTAATATAAAATATTGCTTTTTTTTTCATTTTAATGATGCTAGAGCCGGGCATGGTGGTGCCTACCCACAACCCAAGCACTTGGGAGGCTGAGGCAGGAGGATCACCACCAGTTCAAGGCCAGCCTGAACTACATAATGAAAAACTGTCTCACAAAAACAACTGCAAAGTCAAGAAGAGCAAGTGGCTTTGCAGCATGGTCATCTGGCACCAGAGGCCTGAGTTGAACTGAGATCAGTCAGCCTAAGGTTTTCCTGCAATGTTATAAGACAGGTTGGGCTTTTGCTGGGGATTATACTGAGACCAGGTAATGACAGTGGAGAGTGCAAATGCAACGGAGTGATCAGAGCTCAGGACCCTGAAATCTGACTCTCAACACAAGGGGCCCGAGGAGATGATAAGTGGCCAGTCCATGGCTGTGGACCTAGGGAAGAAGACCCTTGCTAAACTGGGAGTGACCCCAGGCATGGAGGCTAGTAGGAGGCTAAGTTTGGGGCCAACCTGAGCAATTTAGTGAGGCCCTACCTCACAAAAAAAGGGGGTAAGGAGTAGGGGATGCAGCTCACAGCCTAGCATTCTCAGGGCTGAGTTCAATCCCCAGTACTGGGGAAAGAGAGACAGCTAAATTGGGACTTTATTTTGTACTGGGGATTGAACCCAGGCTGACAATTTAGTCAGCCTTAAAATTCATTCTTTGAGGGGCCGGGGATTTAGCTCAGTGGTTCGGTGACCTGTCTTGCAAGTGTAAGGACCCGAGTTCAATCCCCGGTACAAAAAAAAAAAAATTCATTCTTTGATTTTGGAAAACAAACTCGGTGTGTCTGACACCTAGCAGGCTGGGAGTTACATTTATCTCTGTCCCTAGGAGCGGTGATCAGATTGTGGAGAGGAAGGCTGTCAGGGAGGTCACAGCCCTGGGGCATGAGTATCCTAAACTGTTTGGGAAGGATGAGGCCAAGGTAGTCTCGAGCCTTGGAAGCCAGGCCAGAAGGGATTTCCCCAACCTCCCCGTTAGTGGGCTCCAGTCCCATCCCAGTAGCTGCTAATTTTTGGCTTAGTTAATCTCCTTATAATAGTCCCCCTCCCTTTCAAAAATACAGCTAACCTGTTTATTTCTCGTTGGGCTCGTCCAGTCTGGCTCCCCCTCCTCCGATCGCCGCAGTGGGACAGGCCGCCCGGCCTCCTTCCTCGGCTCCCGCCAGGCCCGGGAGAAGACAAACTTTGCATTCAGCCAAAATCAATCGCTCGCCGACCGTCCTTAGCGGAGAGAGACGCGGAGGTCGAGGGGCGGGGCTGAGCGGTTAGTGCTGCCTGGCCCTGCGTGCCCTGCGTGCTGCGGCTCTTTGCGTCTGCGTACTGCGTTCACCTCCCTTTCTGATTCCTCGGCCGCCATGGCGCCCGTGGTTAGTATGTCTCCGCGTGAGGCCTTGGCTCCGTCCTCTCCCCGGGTCCAGCGGGGGACTACAGCCCGGAGGCTGCCTGCTTGTCTGGATCTTAGCGCTGGATCTACTTACCTAGGCGAGGGGCGGAAAAGAGGGGGAGACTCGCCAACCTGGGGAGTAGCGCATTCGGAAGTCCGTCGCAAAGATGAGGGAAAATGATTCGCCGAGGGGTGATCTGGCTTCAGAGAGGAGGCCTGAGCTTGAGTCCCCAGCGGGGGACTACAGCCCGGAGGCTGCCTGCTTGTCTGGATCTTAGCGCTGGATCTACTTACCTAGGCGAGGGGCGGAAAAGAGGGGGAGACTCGCCAACCTGGGGAGTAGCGCATTCGGAAGTCCGTCGCAAAGATGAGGGAAAATGATTCGCCGAGGGGTGATCTGGCTTCAGAGAGGAGGCCTGAGCTTGAGTCCCCCGAGGAAATAAGTCTATTAGGATGCAGCCTTACAGACCCCGTCTGGTGGTGTGGCTCAGGCCGCCCCTTGTTTCCATTGGCTAAGCTGTATGGCGACCTCGTGCCACCTTGGTTGGAGGTTGCCCTTCTCCCGAATTACTTGAAAAGAGTTGACTTGGAGGCTATTTAGTTTTTCAGTTGTGATTTCTTGGCTTATATTTCCGGTTCTCTTAAGTCTCGCTGGATGGACTTGTAAATGTGTCTGTGTATTTGTAGGTTTCTAGTTTAAAACTTTGGTACCAGTGCTACCTACCAAGCCTATTGTGGGTGGGTCTGCTTGCTAATCGTGTATTTCTGGGGCTAGCCTTTAAAGTAATCCTTTTGTTACTGGCAAGAGACATTGTAAATGAGTGATTTTTTTTCTTTCCTGGTAGTAGCTGTATAAAAGTTGACCCAGTTTGAGATGTTGTAGGTGTTCTTTCAAACAGGAAGGGAGGTAAGATGTATTCTTTGAAAGGCACTTTTTAGATTGTGCAAAATTTTCTGAGGTGAAAATACAGGTGACTACAGATATGTTATCCTATTAGTCTGGAACCTCTATGACATGCTCCACTGGGTGATTTGAAAATTTTAATTCGTAAATTAAGGTTATCAGAAGGCCAGAAATTGTTGACAGCAGTGTTAAAAGTCGTAAGTTTTAGCCTTAACCTTGTCTAAGCTACAGTAGACCAGCGGCCAGAATACTTAGCAGTCCTGTGTGCTGTTCCTGAGAAGGTAGGGGAGACAGGATTAAGGGAGAAGAGCTAGAGGATGAGGACCCTGGTCTGGAGACACAAGACGAATGATTTCACCCTAAAAATTGTTCTAGTTGTGTTTTCATTTAGATGCTTGTGTTCTCATCCTGGCACCTCAATGTGTTTGGAAACTTTAGGTCAAGTCAAAGGGAAACCCCTGACGTGTAGAGATTGGGGAGGCTGGAGAGATTGAATGGATCAAGGGCTAGAGTGATGTCCTCATTCAGAGGTCATGGTCTTCCCTTGCCCCCAAGGTGCTTAAATTTATGGAGCAGCATCTTCTGATCCTGCTGCTTTTGGGCAGGGCACTGCTTCTGGTGCTCTTGTGAGGGACCCCATCTCCGTGGATGATGTATGAGCTTTTACGTGTCTGAAGTTTCTGGTCCTGCTAACTTTTTTTGACTGTTACAGCTTCATCTCTGTTGTCTGTATACTTTCTTAGAAAAAGCTTGTGGCAAAGGGGGGCAAAAAAAAGAAGCAGGTCCTGAAGTTCACCCTTGACTGCACACATCCTGTAGAAGATGGAATCATGGATGCTGCCAATTTTGTAAGTTTACGTTCCTGTCACCACTCCTGACTGAGAAGTAATGGACCTTTAGAGAGGCTGTTGAGCCAGGCATGGTAGTGCATGCCTATAATCTTAGCACTAGGAAGGTTGACGCAGGGGGATCACTTCGAGGTGGAGACCAGCTTGGGCTGCATAGTGAGTTCAAAACCAGTCTGAACTACATAGGGAGACCCTTTCTTTCTCTAAAAAGAAACTATTAAGAAAATCTGGAGTGGGGCCGGGGATTTAGCTTAGTGGTTCTGCCGCCTGCCTCGCAGGCACAAGGACTTAAGTTCAGTCCCTGGTACCAAAAAGAAAAAAACAAAAAACTGGAGTCCATTTCTGTGTTCAGGCCTGCAGGCTGTTACAGTTTTTTGGTGCTTAATTTTGGAGTGTGTGCAAGTTGTTTCTGAGGCTCACTATTGTGAGATGGGCTTCTAGTAAATAAGGTGGGCTCGGGATGCAGGTGCTAGAGAGCTGTCTTATTTCCCTTCTCTTTCTGTTAGTTTCCAAAGATGATACTTAATTCATTTTTTTCCCAAAGATGATTTGAACATTAGCAAGAAACAGGCAGACTGTGTCTGGTGCAGTGGCGCCCTTGCACTTAAGTTTTCATGCCAGTGATGGGCCCTTCCCCTTCCAACCTCTTCCTGGCCCTCACTGGGACTGAGGGTCGTCAGGCAGCAGCCCCTGAAGCTTCTGCTGTACTCCGCACCCGAGCTTCAGTGGTTGAAATACCCTGCTTGCTGAATTGTCACTGAGCATGGTTTTCTTATACCTCAAGCTGTCCTGACATCTTGCCCCCTATTGGGCCCCATTCCCCCACTATTACTATATTTCACTTCAAGGCTACCGAGCCACATCCCCAGTCCTGAGGATTAGGAGTTTGCACTGAAAGGGACATTTCTCAAACAAGAGCAAGAAAACACAGGAAAGGGTCTCTTTTGGGCCTGGCTAACCGGCTGGCACTAGGAGTTTGAAGAGACTTGGTGTTAGGCTCCTGGGTTGCTGCCTCCTTTGTGTTACACGTGTGTGTGGGCTGGGCAGAGCTATGATTGTGCTGGTTGTTGTTGTATCTCTGTTCTTTCTACTCAGCTTTCTGTGACAGTGCTGAGAACAGTGCTTAAGATTCCTTAGCTTCCTAAAAGTTGCTAGTCTTTTTTTTTTTTTTTTTTTTTTTTTGGAGACACAGTCTTGCTGTGTAGTTCAAGCTGGCTTTGAATTTGTGATGATCCTCCTGCCTCAGTTTCCCAAGTGCTGGGATTACCAGTGTATGCCGCCATGTCTGGCTGTGTGGTCTTCTTGTTGAGACAGGATCTAACTACCTATTCCAGGCTGACCTTGAAATCTGTGTAGCAGTCATGCTACCTGAGTGCTGAGTAGCTTCCTGAGTGCTGAGGTTACTTGCCTGCACCACCACACCTGGGTCTGGTTGGGTGTTCTGTACAAAAGTTTGGCCTTGGGTTTCTTGTCTACACTTTGGTGATCCTGGGGATTGAACCCGGGGCCTCGTGCATGCCAAGCAAATATTCCAATACTGAGTTACACCCAGTAGTTTTTTGTTTTTGTTTGGTACTGGGGATCAAACTTGGACCTTGCACTTGCGAGGTAGGCAGTGGAACCACTGAGCTAAATCCGTGGCCTGTTTTTTTGTTGTTGTTTTTGTTTTCCCTCTGAGAAGTTTTTGTTATGTTGCCCAGACTGCCCTCAAACTGAAATACTCCTGCCTCAGCCTTCCAGATAGCTTGGATTACAGGTGTGTGCTGTTGTTCTGGCTTCCTGTCTGCTCTTTACCTTTGACTCAGAAGCATGTTGCCCATCGAGCCTTCCTTGGGGAGCCATGTCTCACCTGTGTCATGTGGGATGCCTTCACAATGTGTGTGTACACAGGGTGAACAGTGTCATTCCTGCCTGCTGATCCTGGATTTGAGACTGAATGGCTGATTTGTGGTCACTAAAAACAACATTTTAAAACTCAGCTGCATTGCTACAAACTGCCCTGCCATTGGACTGGGAACCTGCCGCTTTGCTAATCGGTCAATTTGGCGATTTCCACAGGAGCAGTTTCTCCAGGAGAGAATCAAGGTGAATGGCAAAGCCGGGAATCTCGGTGGAGGGGTGGTCACCATCGAAAGGAGCAAGAGCAAGATCACTGTGACTTCTGAGGTGCCCTTTTCCAAAAGGTACACAGGGGCTGTCCCCACTTGGCCTGCCGCCGTGGAAGGGTCTGCTTTGTGGTCACATCTGTTCCTTACTGGAAACTGTCTGATGTGAGGTGTGGTGAATGAATGTCAGCATATGTGGTTCAACTTTGAACTCAGGCCTTTGCACACACCACCCCCCTCTTTTGTTAATTTTAATTTTTAGTGTTTTGAGACAGGGTCTCACTGTGTAACCCAGGCTGTTTTCTGAAATACTGCCCCAGGCAGGGAAGAGATCTGTACTTTGATCTTGAGACCTTTGAGACAGGGTCTTGCTGTGTAGTTCAGACTGGCCTCAGATTTATAGCAGTCCTCCTGCCTCAGCCTCCTGAAAGCTGACATTACAGGCTTGTACCACAGTGCCCAGACTTTTTTGGTTTTTTAAAGAGACAGTCTCCACTGTGTAGGCTGGCCTTGAATTTGTGCTTCAGCCTCCTGAGTACTGGGATTAACAGGCTTATACCACGTTGCCTGGCTTATTTTGTATTTTGGGACAGGTTCTTGCTGACTTCCCCAGATGAGACTTGAACTTGGGATCCTCTTGCTTCAGCCTTTCGGAATGCTGGGATCACAGGCATGCACCACCGTGCTTGGCAGAGCTCTTAGTGTTGGTTCCGCTTCCCTTCTCCATAAGGGTTATTAGAGCCCTGGACGAGGAAGCATCAGTCTCAGTTCAGAACGAAGCCTCTCCACTTCATTCCTGAGCCCCATCTTTCTTCTCCAGAGAGAGGTGTTAATTCTTCTGTCCCTTCTTCCATTAGGGTGAGTTTGAAAGGCTTTACATGTGTAGCCTGTTATCCTAGCATGCTGGGAGGCTGAGACAGGAGGATGACACTTTTGATCCTGGCCTGGGCCACTTAGTGATTTTTCAAGACCCTAAAGTAAAATGCAGAAAGGGCTGGGCCGTAACCTAGTCGAAGGGCCTGGGTCCCGTCCTGGTACAGTGCTGCGGAGGTAGGTGGCTGGTTTTCCAGTCACTTCACAGGCTGGGTGTGTGTATAGCCATCTCCTAGCCCAACGCCTGGCGACCAGGAGCTTCCTTGTACCAAGTCAGATGGCGTCTAGGTGGTGGTGGGTCCCGGGTGCCGGCTGCGGCTGGTGGTGTGGTGAGGCCTCGGGGAGCTGTGAGTCGGGAGGTTTGACAGCAGCACACTCGCAGCTGAATTGGCCAGGTGCACAGGACATCCACCCAGCCTCGGCCAGGGCGCCATGTGGGGGATTCATACGTCTTCCTTTATCCCCTTTGCTGGCTGCTGTGGGGACAAGCCTGACAGCACCCTTCAGTTTTCACAGATTTTCTGTTCTTTGTCTTCTCCCACAGAGTTTTCCCCTTTTCTGACACTGCTGGGGATTGAACCTGGGTCCTTGGTACTGAGCAGCCCCCGCCCCCCTTATTTCAAGACAGGTTTTTGCCAAGTTGTCCATGCTGGGCTCAAACTTAGGATCCTACTGCCTCAGCCTTCAAGAATGCTGGAATTGTGGGAGTGCACCACCGCCCAGTTTTGGCTCCTTACTTTTTTTGATACTAGTTTTATTTTACTGAGACACGTAGGAGTATTTCCTAATCTACAACTCTACCTCGTCTTGGAACCTCTGATTTTTCTAACATTCTGAGAACTCAACTGTCTGAGATTGTGGGTGAAGCCCCCCAACACAGTGTGACAGAATCCCCACGTGACTGATGGCAGAGGAGCAGGTCTTATGGAGCAGACCCCTCAGCCATGTGTCGGTTTTAACATCTGGGTCCTTGCCTCCTTCCAGGATGGTGTTTCTATGTGCAGCTCGCACAGCCATCCCAGCAGCTGAGGAGACCTCGGGCCCGTATTGTAGTGGGACAGACTTGAGGCCTGGCCAAGCCCAGCTACCTATCAGTGTTTGTGTGGCACTGCAGCCGCTCTTCCCTCCCATTACGGCGGCCCAGGGGTGCAGAAGAGGTGCAAGGAAGCTCAGTGCTGGCTCCTGGGGGCCCGCTGGAGTGGGATGCTGGGCATAGAGCCAGCTACCGCCTTTACAGCAGCAGCACCCACCCAAGCCGAGGTGGCACTTAGGTATAGATTAGGAAGATCTGGACACACACCAAGTCCTGAGTTTGCCCCAGCACCTCAACCAACAATCAAAAGTTCCCCTTTAAAATCTAATAAAATTACATGCACTTCTGTCCATACTACTCAGTAGGCTGAGGCAGGAGAATTGTTTGAGGCCAGGAGTTTTAGGAGCAGCCCAGGCCATACAATCAGACATAGCCCCCAAAAAACCCCAAACCAGAGCCCTGCTGGTGAGGGCACCGGCTGGTGGTGCTGTCCTCACGTGTTGGGTGGCACCTGACACATCGCAGGTGTGAGAACCCATTGCCAGCCTGCACCACCTTGGCAGCCAGTCAGGGAAGTGCTGGCATGGGCGGGGGCCTTGTGGACTCGGGGTGTCCTCAGAGGGTGAGGCTGGTGCAGTGTTGTGTTGTCTGTTTGCCACTGCGACCACGGAGACAGGCCTGTGCAGCGGGCAACTGACCATGAGGCCTGCTTTTCTGCCCTCACTTTCATGGCTGACTTAGGTGCTGGAGGAGGGGCCAAAGTTTGTTCTCAAGAGTGCTGGCTGGGTTTGTTTGCTTGTCTTTGTTTTGGGAGTGTGGGGAAGCATCTTGAATTGTCAGTCTCTCAGAGTTGAAAGGGTGAGGCGCGACATGGTGGTGTGTGCCTGTGATCCCAGCACGTAGGAGGCTTGAGTCAGGAGGATGGCCTAGAGTGGTAACGGGGACCTTTTAGAGCTCTCGGTGTCCAGACTGCCCACTTGGCCTGCATATCATCGGTTCACCACCACTGACCGGCCTAGAACTTGAAGCCAGACCGGGCTACACAGCACAGTCCCTGTCTGAAAAAAGTAGTAAGAAAGTTGAAATGTTGAGAATGTAAGATCATCTGTGAGTGTCCTTTTTCTGCAGGTATTTGAAATATCTCACCAAAAAATATTTGAAGAAGAATAATCTCCGTGATTGGTTGCGCGTAGTTGCTAACAGCAAAGAGAGTTACGAATTACGTTACTTCCAGATTAACCAGGATGAAGAGGAGGAGGAAGATGAGGATTAAAACTCCTTTGTCTGGAATATTTTTTATGAGTTCTTGAATAAAACTTGGGAACCAAAACGGTGGTTTATCCTTGTATCTCTACAGTATGGATTGAAGGGGAAACTGGCAGTCATGGCCATGGGCTTCATTGGGCTGCCGCTCACTTATAATTAGACTTTTTTTTCTTCTTGAAAATTCCAGTTTCCAGGGTAGCAATACCAGAAAGTCAGGAGGAGGCTGCCTGAGGGAACTGAGAACCAGCCGTCCACCCTGAGCCAGTAGAGAAGGGTGTGGAGACGGACGCCAGACTTGTCCTTTGATTTAAAAAAACGTAACAGTCGCTTTCACTTGAATGTGATACTTTTCTCCAAGGAAGATTCAGGAGTATAATGTGGTTCCTCAGTCACTGGAAGCAAAATAGGTTATTTCTTTCCAGGAAAATGGCAGTGTCAATAAAATGCAGGTTTCTGGGACATTTGTCTACTTTTTAATTCCAAGTTATTCTTGATGCTCACAGTTACATATTGCTAATCCTTTTTCTTCCTATAGATATAAGATGTGGTCCTTTAGCCTTCTTGCATATTCTACCCTTCATAAAAGGGTTTGGAGAACAATTATGAAAGTTCTAGGCTTTAAATGAAGTAAATGTGTTCAGAAATGGATTTGTAAACCGTTGCTTCTTCAAGTCTTTGCCATTCTGGTGTCCAGCAGAGGGCGCTGGAGACAGTGGCGGAGCTTCCAGATGTACCCTCTGTCTGGTGTGAGCCTTGAGGCTCCAGACCAGGCCTCCCTGGCATGACAGGAGGAGTGGGATTAGTTATCCGGGAAATCTCCATGCCACTTAAATTCCCAGATACACTTCCTGTCACATGACCTACAGATGGGCTGGTTGTAGCTCAACAGCAGAGTGATTGCTTAACTTGAGGCCCTGGGTTGGAACCCCAGATGAAAGGTCCAGACCCAGACTGATGGTCTGGGAGGCACCGGGGTGAGAACCAGCCCCACCATGGGGTTTTGTGCCCAGTAAAGGTATTGATGACTGAAGAGTCCCCATGCCGTAGGGGCCCTTCTGAAATCCAAGCAGTTCTGCTGTGTAAAAATAAACGTTTTTAAAGAGCTTGCCTACAGCTGATTCCCCTGTAAATGAAATGTTTTTAAGTTCTATCCTGGTTCCGATTTGTCATAGGGCCCTTCTGGGATTGAATCTGGCCTATCGGGCTCTGCAATTTCACCTTGTGGCAAAGGCTCTAGCATTTTGTATTTCTATGCAAATCTGAAGCAGAATTATTGGCAAATTTCCTCACTGAAGGCAGGCAGGGGTCCTTTCAAACCTGAGGGAGGTCTGGGTTGTTGTGTTGCGCCCTCACCAAGATACTAACTATGTAAGTCTGTGGTTTGGATTTGCAAATTTTACTTGTTGCATTGATATTTCTATGTGGTAATTTTTAGTTTGGTTGTAAAAAGGATCTGGGCTGCATTTAGCATTTAAGAAAATAATGATCCCAGATTTTGAGACTTGTAATAAAATTGAAACTTACTGTTTTTTCTATGCCTTTTTGAACTCTTGTAATTGGGTTTTGATCACATTTTATATTAAAGTGGCTCACACATGGCTATTGTTGTGAAAGCCTTGTTTTTTAAAGGACTGGCGTGTTAATGTCACCTCCGTCCTCACTGTGGATGGCTGTGCTGACAGCTACCTTGCTCTTGGTTAGGCAGAGCGGGAAATAGTCCTCTACCGCTGTGTCCTTCCTTCTGCAGTGTGGCCTCAGATCTGGAGCTGGCACTGACTGAGTCCCAGAACAGCTGTGCACACAGGTCCTTGTTCTGGTGGGGGACACCCGGGGGGAGTTTGAACTGCTCCTTAGCAGGTGGTCCGTCCTTGTGCCTCACCTGCCCCATCAAATGGCAGGGGACAGAAACATCACAGCGTTTTTTCCTGTTGTTTTTGAGAGAACATCTTGCTATGAAGTCCAGACTGGCGTCAAACTTGCCAGCGATCCTCCTGCCTCAGCCTCCTGGGGGTCTGAGATTACAGGCACATGCCACCACACCTGGCTTCTGAGTTGTGGAGTTTGAAGCTATGATTGAAGGTCACAGAAGTCGGAACAGCTTCAGAGGCTTGTTCTCACCAGCTCCGCTTGCCACACGTGGTGCAGCCAGGAAATGAAAGTCTCCAAACGCCAGGGTCCAGACATTTCTGAAGGTACACGTTTTCCTTCCAGAGACCTGCAGTCCCCCCGCTTCTGTGACTTTCCTGGTACTGCAGGTCTGGGCCCTTTGTATTGAGCTATCTCTCCAGTCCTTTGTTTCTTTGAATTTTGAGATAGGGTCTCACTAAATTGCCCAGCTGGGCTCAAATTTGCAATCCTCCTGTCTCAGCCTCTCAAGTGCTGGGATTACAGGTACATGCTACCATTTGCAGCTGCACCTGCTCTCCTGGGTTCAGGTCTCAGCTGGTGTGAGTGGGGGGAGAGGGGCAGAAACCCTGGAAGCGGGCTGTGCCAGGTGAGTGCTGGGCATCTGTCAGCCCCGCAGGAGGAAGGAGGAGGATGACAGCTGCTTTCAGTGATGCCCTAATCGTGCTGATTTCCTGGAACAAAACACAAGACTGGTGCGGCCATTTTCTGGTCTTGGGTGGGTTTGGGGATCCACAGCAATTTTCTCCAGGCTCCTTCGGCCACACACTGGCCATATGGTCTAGTACTCTGCCAACCGCTGCGGGCTTCGCTGGCTGCTTCCTGCTGGGACCCAAGGCTCCCTTGCTGAGCTGCCAGGCTGGTGACCCCAGGCTGTCAACATGGGAAAGGCTTCCAATGGGAGCTGGGTCTTTGGCACTGCCGAGGTTCACTGAGACTTCCACCCAGAGGACACTGCTGCCACATGGGCTGCCAACGTGCACTGCCCCCCGAAGCCTGGGTCCCCTCATGGCCATGCTGTCTGCACTCGGCTTCCTATGAAGGAACCGCCCCAGCCAGGACCTGGAGAGTGTGAGATTGGAGACCAATAAAGTGATCGGCTGCTGCTGCAACTCAGTTCTTGATAAAGCCTTATCCCTGACTTTATATACCTAATTTTAACACGGATTGAGCCCAGAGCCTTCACACAAGTACACACGAATTTATTTTGTATTTTGAGAGGGTTTTGCTAAGTCACTTAGTTCCCTAGGTTTGGCTAGAATTTAGGTTTTTCCTGCCTCAGCCTCTCAGTGCCAGGATTACAGGTGTGTGCCACCAGGCCCAGTTTATTTTTCTGTTTTTATTTTTTATTTACCCGGAATCGAACTTTGGGCCTTGTGCTTGCCAGGCAGGCATGTGCCACTGAGCTCCATCCCTGGTTTCTGTGCCCAGATTATAACCAACATGCTTTAAAAAATATTGTGATTTTTGAATTGCCACTGAGGTGTAATTATAAGCTGGGGTTAGCAAAGATGAGAGAATGTCTCGAGATGGCATCCTTAACAGGCTTGTTCTTAAAGTGCCAGGGTTTATGGGATGTTCAGGTTTTTAGGGGTTGATTTTAACACCAGGCATTTTGGGTCCACTATCATGAAAATGCCCTTGGACATTTAAGTTTAATGATAATAGGAGCTCTCAACAATTACTGGACTATTGGGGACGGGGATTTAGCTCAGTGGTTTCGCCGCCTGCCTGGCAAATGCAAGATCCTGAGTTTGATCCTCAGTACCAAAAAAAATTACTAGACAGTCTCATCCAAAGCCCATTTGTTCCTTTTTAATTTTTTAAATTTTTTTTTTATTTTTTAAAAGATGGTCTCACTGTATAGTTTAGGCTGGCCTCGAACTCAGGGCGGTCCTCCTGCCTCAGCCTACTCAGTGCCAGGATTACAGGTGTGCCTACCAGGCCTGGTCAAAGCCCATATTTGTTTCTACCATTCCATTTCTTTGTTGTTTTTTTGAGATGCTCTTGCTATGTAGTTCAGGCTAACCTTGATACTCCTGCCTTAGCCTCCTGAGTGCTGGGATCACAGACGTGTGCTACCACACCTGTGTCAACCCTCTCCGTTTTTGTCTTGCCTTTGGTCATTAGCTAGTGTTACACAGCTGCAGGCATCAGGAAGAACAGGGTGGAGAGAGCACCGTGTATGACAAACATCTCATCTCTAATTTGTTCAAAGTGAAGCAGTTGGAGCACTTCTGCCTAGAATGTGCTCTGATCTTGACTTCCTTGGGCTTGGAGCCAAGATGGACGGAGCACACCTAGGCACACACGCGGTGGGGGCGGAGAAATGTTAGGTCCAAGTTTTTCAGCAGTGGGGCAGAGGGGAAGGGCCCAAGGCCCATTGTGAGTGAGGCATGGGGCGACAGGGAGCCTAGGGGTCTTCCTATCCAGAGGTCAGGTTCTTTGCAGGAAGCTGGCCAGCCGTCCCGGGCAGGGACCGTGCTCTCTGGGTTGCTTCTCACTGTGGGAGACAGCTTGGCTGGGGCAGCCTTTTGGTTTCTCCGCCTGGACCTTGCAGTGCCCTGGCTGTGCTGATCCAGTGTCTGTCCACAGTATGCTCTGAGAAGCCGGGTGAGGTGGCCCATGCCTATAGTCTCAGCACTGTGGGAGGCTGAGGCAGGAGGATTACAAGTTCAAGCCCAGCCTGGACAACTTAGCAAAACCCTGTCTCAAAATAAAAGATGAACAATGGGCTGGGATCACGTTTCTGGTACATTAATTTTTTTCTCCCTTTCTCCTGGTTTTACTTGGCTCAAACTTGCTCTGCAGAGCCTGTTTTTTTCTATCTTTAATAAAAGTAGGGCCAGGGATTTAGCTCAGTGGTTCCGCCACCTGCTTTGCAAGCTGAAGAACCTGAGTTTGATCCCTGATACCAAAAACAAATAAACAAAATGTAAAACTGTGCCACTGTTTAAAAAAGTGTGTGTGGGGGATTGGGGCTGATGTTCAGTGTTAAGACAGCCTCCGGATTACTTCCTAGCATTGAAAAAAAAATTGATATGTGCAGAAGGATTTCCAGTGGCCTGCACTTGGATCCCAGAAGTCTGGATGGACCTGGCCGTGCCCAGGGATTGCTGGTTGGTGAATGTGGAGGGCACCAGAGGGAGCTTTACTACCAGTCTGGCCATCCCTCGCCTGGCCACCCCTGCCTTCTGGCCAGTAGGCTGGGTTGTGGCGACCTCCCCAAGAGGTGCTGCTCTGGGGACCCTCAGTGAAGTGGACATGATTTTTCTAGGCTCCCGAAAGGAGCCAAGAGAGGAGCACCTTCCCGGTGATGGCTGGGTGGCAGCGTGGTGGGTTTCCAGGGCAGTCCCCGGGTTCTGACCACAGGCTGTGACACGGAGGTGCCCTCCCTCATTGGCCCTTATGGCCTTAGCGACCTTGTGGCTCTCAGACTCGCAGCAGCCGGACAGAGCCCGCTCACTTGAAACTCCAGGCTTCGGCCTCCCTCTTCACCCTTAAAACCCAAGGCTGGCGGTGGGTCCTTCTCTCTCCGTGACAGGTGTCACTTCCGAATGGGAGCTTTGGGCGCTGGGAAGCCGACCGGGGCGTCGGAGGGGCTTTTTGGAAGCTGCACTTGGGAGAGCAGCCTGCGCGGATTTTTCTGCAGGCCCAGACTGTAGCCAGAGTCCCTTCCCGAGCGGGACACAGGTTCCTCGTCATCCTCTTTCGGGATCCCCTCGATGATGTGCCGGGCTCCTTCGCCTGCGGGGCGGCGGCGAGCTGTGTCGGG